CTATTTAAACAACTAATATATACTATAATTGTATACAAAAATAGATTATACTAAAGTTTTAAAGTTATATAATATTAATTAAATTATTATATTTGGATTAATTTGTATAATGAAATTAGTAACATTAAAAATGGGATATGCAATTATCAAAATCTTTTTAGTAAGATGGTTATTAAGAATGTGGGACACGTAAAAATCTATTTGGAGACCTTTTAAGATCACCTTTTACTACATTTTTTGTCGACAAATTGTCGAGAAATTTCTTCATTTGATCAGGAGATCTATTTCCACTTGATGCGATAATTAAAGCAATTGTACCAGCGACTATTCAATAGAAAGCTTGGGATGAATACTAATACATGTACAACAAATTCAGTTGCCGTAAATTCTCGAAATAACGCCCAGGGTGAAATTACGAAATTTGGCTAAATTAGGTTTATTTCGGGCTAAAACTTAAAATAATGCCCATGCCCGCTATTTTGAAATTTACGGTAATAGAATATTTATAATCACAAACCATGAGGAGATGCTTGACTGGTTCCTGTAAATGTTACAAGATCGGTAGGAGACTCATTTCCAGCTGCAGTGATTTCGATACCTTGTTAAAAAATAACAATTAATTATTGTATATACAAAAGTATTTGTTGTTCATTATGGATGATTTTGGAATCGAGTCTTTTGTTTAAATCTTTAATCTTTTTACTTTCTGCAATATATCAAGTTAATATTTTTTTAAAAAAACTATGCACAATATAATTAAATTTGAATATTTAAATAAAGGATCAATTCCACAAGTTCACCGTAATTCAAGGTTTGTTACCTGGAGCAAAGATATTAACACATTTTCCAATGTTTGAGAAATCTGCAATAACATCAGTCTTAGCATCAGTAGCTCCAACTGCTATGACATTAGGTGCTGATGCTGGTGTAGTTAAACAAGTATTTTCTGCATCATTTCCAGCAGCGGCAACGACATGGATACCCCTTTTCCCTACTTCTACAGTCGCATTATTTAAAGTCTTTGAATTAAATAGACCTAAGGACATACTATTAAGTAGGTTTATCAAGGTTTTTTACAACATAATAATTAAACATAGAAATGGTAGTGTAGATAAAATATTACTTAATCACTGTATTTTTGTTAGAGCTTTTCATATGCTCCCTTCCTATAAAGCTTAATGCTGAAATAATGGCACTGGTATCACAAAATCGATTGGCGCAAACCTTAACAGAAATTAGAGTTGCATTTTTTGCTACACCATATTTAGTTCCTGAGATAATTTCGAATTCAGAGTCAAGTATTAAGTAATTTTAAACAATAATATTTTGCTTATAACTTTTTAATACCTCCAACCTATTAATATGATTTAAGTTTGTTAGAAAATTGTAAAATATTTGGCAGTGATATGTAAATCATAAGATCAAACCAAAAGAACCTTATGATTTTGACTAGATTTTACAAATAAAATTTATAATACTTACAATCCCTGCGACATTTGTTCCGTGACTTTTTTAAAAAAAATTGTAAAAAAATGAGTGTGTCATTAAATTATTTATTATAAGTATAAAGCAAAAATGGATACCCTAAAATATCATCATTCG